ATTAAACCTGAAAGTGTGTCGTATATTATTTATTAACTCTCGAATTACGGGAATACATCTGTTAACATTAAATTATTGAGTGAAAGCAAAAAAGTTAATTAATTAAAACGGCATGCTTGAGAAAAAACATCTGGGGTAATTCAGTTAGGTAAACAAGGCGCAACAGTTTTAGATCATCCAGTGATATAAACATGTTTAAACATTGTCAATTTTAAAAAAAATTAAGTATATTTTTAAGAACTTTGCTGTCGCCTTTGTTATTTCAGATAATTTGAGATAATATTTTTATTGTGCTTCCCTTTATACTTTATACCCAAAGGTTATTCTTTAATGTATAATTAATCCTTAATGAGATTGCTTGGGAACTAAGTACATATATAAATTACATCATCATATTGTTATCAAATATTTTTTACCCTTTTTAATTTTCTTTGATTGGCTTTATAATATAAATAAAAGATATAACAGTTTTACAAATAGGCTAAGAAAATAATATGCAAATTTCCCACATAAGATCTAGAATTGTCTCTTTCGTCTTTGTTTAAAATGTAAAACTTTTTCAATAATGGCAACTTATATTATTGCTAAAGTTTGTTCACAATATCTTCTAAGACATTTCAAATGAAATACTCACATCCTGTTGACAAAATATTATGTCTATTTCATCAGTATGTTCTCTTCTCCAACTTATTCCATTTAACTTCAAATATTAATTGTAGTTTTGATAGGTTGTCATATTATAATCATTTGAATTTATCCGGTTCAGAGAAAATAAAATAGAAATATATGTTGAATAATAACAACGAGAAATGTTTTTCAGATAAGATTAATAAAATAAAACGAATTTACTACGATCTTAATTAAGAAGTTTGTTATATTTACAAATTAATTTTATTGGTACTAATAATTTACTCCAATAATTTTACACACATATGAGCAAAATTATTAAAGCGAATATGCAAAAGTGCAAAACAGGAACATCTTATTGACGTGAGAAAAAAGTTCTTGAAGTAATAACTAAAAAAATATGGAAACATGATATTCTATGAAAATAATAAACAACAGCAATAGACAAATTAAAAATTTCCTGATTATATTTTAAAATGACGTAATAAACAATCGCTTTTTGATATGCTACTCCATACTTGAATAAATATAGGTGGTAGATTCTATAAATATCCACACACTGTTAGACTTAACGTCTTGATCGTTTACAGTACCTCATGTTTTGTAACCTGTAGAACTATGTGTAATTTTCCGTATTTTATATTTAGACGTAAAATAGGCATCCTATTTCCAAGATAGTTAAATATTATTTTCAAATACCTATACGAGTGGGAGTAAATGTTGACCTGATCGCACAAAGTTACTCATGTTTTTCAAATTTCCCACATTATACAACGTAAAGAATTTCTGGAACTTTCTATAATTTACTGATTAATTCCGTCTTATAAACACAGGAAAATGTTTTTCATGTTTTACATCATTTTGACAATGTAGAGACTAGAATATATATGAAGCTTTGAAGGATTGACTCTGTTGTTTGGAATTGTTTGCATTTGCCATTTTTTAAATTTAAGGGTTATATTATACCAGAAACTATGACGTACGTGATATGATGTAAGCAAAGTGATACTTGAACTAAAATTTGGATAATTATTATTAGAAAAATAGTTATAGTATTTATTTACATAAATTTTGTTCATAGTAAGCAAACTTTTGATTCTCCCAAAATAAATCTGCATTTTTATTGGAAATGATCATAAGTATATTATATAATTCGTATTTAAATATTTTTAAAGTTAAATAACCATTTTCCATTTTGAGTAACTAAAGATATCTCTTATGAGTTTTGTAATAAAAACATAAGAGAAATTATTATTAATGGTACGAGATTTTTAACGTTCTGGCGAAGGCGCCAGTTTTACTTTACATAATTTCTTTAAAGAATATAATATATATAAATTCAAATTGAAATATTGCACATTGATAAAATGCAACGGGAGTCAAAATAACATATTGAAACTATTGAAATCAATAAAATTATTCTGTTTTAAAAGATATTTCTGTTAAGTTGTCATATTTTTAATTGGTCTTTGTATCACGAGTAATAATAATTGTTCATTTCAAGAACAACTTAATCGGTAAATAACTTATTTTGGATTTTTGAAATTTGTAAAAAATTTATTTATCAGAGTTATTATAAACGAATTCAGCAAAAGAAAACTCAAATGTAATGTTTCTTTCATTGCAGCATGCTTTCTAACTATCATTTCTATTTAAAGAACTTGAAACGAAAACATCCCATGGAATCGAGCAAAATATGATCAATTTATAACACATGTTTCGTATTTAATATGTTACTGTTATCAATATACGAGTATAAATATTATGAAAATCCCCGAGAATAAAGGCTCCCGAAGCCTTTCGTTTATTAATATAACCAAGTCTTCATAATGTGGTACAATTTAGGCGTAATTTACTTTTACTTTCCGAGAAAGTGAAGTTTAAAAGCTCAGTGTTTAGTTTCAAAACTTTTAAGTGGAAAGAAAGCTTCATTTCTTAAATTAGTTCTTATCCGGACCTACTTCAATAAACGCTGTGGGTAATTTACTTTTTCTTCTTGATTATCCAATGCGAAAAATGAAATGTGTGATAATATTAGATATTTGCAATAAATATAAGTTAGTTATGTTATTAGTGTTACTAGTTACCGTAAAGTAATATATTTCAGCATCTATGGACGTATAAAGTTCAAACAAAAATACCTTAAGCATTTCGCAACTGATGCTTTGAAATTGTACCAGAAATAAATTTACTTCATAAATATTAAACATGTTTAGGGTATTCAGTTTTAAGAAATTACTGTTACTTTAGGAAGTAGGCCACCGACCAGTTTCCGGACCAAAAAGTTTTTGATAATGAATTTATTATATACGAAATGTTCCCTTTGGACTTCCTATATTAATTACTTAAAATTTTATAAAGCGTAAACGTGGTTATTTCTTCCTGAAAACGGACTTTGTTTGAAATAATCAAATACTCGTACATAAATGAACATTATTTATGTATATTCAGAACGTTAAGGAAATATAATAATTGTTATAAAACATAAAACTAAATTAAATGTTGATTTTTTGTTAAAAAAAAACGAAAACTGTAATTAATTTCAGCTAACTCGAATAAATATTTTTTGGAAATAAATATTTGTGTCATATTTGTTTAAAACTCTAATTATAAGCCATGTTATTCAAATATTGTATTTAATGCAATTATAGCATTGACATAAATAAACAAACGTGTTTTATATGCTCTCAATATAAAATGGTAATTAAATCGGGATTAAAAACTAGCGAAACGAATAAAACTAAACCACAGGATGTTATTGAAATGCTATAAAAGAGCGATAGTACCCATAAAAATGGGAAAAGTTCCCCCCAAATGCATAATAAAGGAGTTAGCTATTTTAAAATTGTAAAATAATAAAAATGTTTTTTTAATCGTAAGTTTAGAATAAGAAAAAATTGAAGTAAAATTTCCACACTTGTAATTTTATATTGTAACGAATTGGAAAGGCACACAAAGAATCATGAATGAAAAGTTACCTGACCGAACATTGGATCATAAATAAAAATTAATTATTAATATACCAAACAATAAAATAGTATAAAATTGTTAATATAAAGATTCTAAATAAAAATAAGTAAAAATTAAGAATATCACACAGTATAAAAATTGATAATTTTAAATTTAATTCACAAGTATAAAATAATTTTTCAAAAGAATGCATGACACCGACACTTGTTAACACCCAGTACAATGAGAAAACAGAATTTAAACCCAGAGTGACATATATCAAATAAAAGACCAATATCCATAGATGATAGGTATATTTTGGGTAGACGAGTAACTGTAGAGAAAATATCTTAAATGAACTGAAGTCATATATGAAATTTTTTTATCAAATGTCAAATTAAATTATAATTTTATCAAATGTCAAAACAAAAGTTGACTGTACAAGTACTAGAAGATGACCTAGAAAAAAGAGCATAAAATAAGGAATATTTTAATAATAAGTAATAGATTTATATATGTTAAAAATAAAAGGACATTGTAACAAATGTATTAGATATAAGAAGTATTAGTTAAAAATTTATATAATTATGATAGGCAAGACACAATACAAGGGCGAGTGGTTAAGGTAGTATAAATTAAAATTCAAATACAGTAATTTTTAAAGAAAAGCCCAGTCCTTGTACTGTGCAAACTGTAGTAGGATAGAAAAGGTAGAAAAATAAAATATTCTTTATTATTGTTCAACACAAAAATTTAGTTTATAAGAAGCCATTCCTAATCTAAAGTCAACCAGTTGAAGTTTGTTTTCATATAATCCAATTAAATAATTTAAAATAAATAGTGTATAAAAAGTTAAAAACTCAATTTTTCTGGCGTGCTGCATTGAACAAATTTATGTATGAATGATACAGAACCGACTCCTGAGATCTAAAATAAAACAGACATCTGAGTAACAGCTAGCAAGGGATACAAAATTTAATATACAAGGTAAAACAAAAGAAAGGCTTGTATTAAACAATTTACAGTTAATCAAAATTTATTACAGAAACAAAACCAAAACAACGCAACACTCAATACATAAAACACAAAAAATTGACAAAATTTAATATCATCATAATCATAAAATTAAAAAAACTAACAATATAATAAATTTCATAACAATATTTTGCTCCTAAAGCAGTTGGAGATATCAAAAAAGAATATTATTTGAAAGATTTGGGGATTGTTTTTTCAATAACATCTTTGTGGATAACTTTTTTTACGTCGTAGATACATTTTTGATAACTATATACTTATTTACACAAAAAATACTCTTGTTGTTATTTACTATTTTTAGCTTCCTGTATTTTTTTTATTTAAATTTTAAACAACTGTTTAGTGTTGTAAGATACGGCAGCAAATTAATACCTTGTATGTTGTTCCAGACTCCGATCTACCTCCTCGTGGCTAATAGTGGAAAAGGATGTGTGGGATGGACGTAATAACAAGTACTCATGAAACATTGAATAACTAACCGTGTTTAAATTATGTGCTATTCCTGTTTTCTCTAAAAACTAGCCATGCCTAAAAATACGCTATGTGACTTGGATGATTTCCGCAACCAGTACAAGAACATACACGGGTATCTGAGCCTAACAGTGTGTATATTTGGTTCCATAACGAACATCCTCAACATTTGCGTACTTAGGACTAAACAAATGCGGTCGCCTACCAATTTCATTCTGATAGGATTAGCAGTGGCGGATCTACTAGTAATGATACTGTACATCCCATTTACTGTGCATCGGAATATAGACCCAAGAAGGAGGCTCGTGCAACATTTTTCTTACCCCTGGGCCTGCTTTCATAAGTTCCACGCCTTCAGCACCATAGTGTTGCACTCAATCGCATGCTTCCTGACTATAGTCTTGGCGATTTGGAGGTATATTTTTGTATCTAAAGTGAGCTCGCATGGGGTTTGCTCGAATTTAAAGTACACGGTGATAGTAATAGTACTTACTTACGTAATTTCTCCTCTGATTTGCTTGCCTTTGTTGTCAACCTTCGAGATAATCTCGTACAACCACACTTGTAAGCTTAACGGTGAATGGGTTCTAGAAAAGGACATTCGTTTGTACGACAACAAAAGCCTAACTAAGAGAACGATGTATATAACGAATTTAAATGACCCACAAAACCTAAGTATCTGGCTGTATGGTGTTTGTTTGAGATTTGTGCCTTGTATTCTACTTACGATTCTTACATATAAGATTATTACGGCCTTATTGGAGACTAGGAGAAGGAGAATGAAACTGCTCGCCTCGAGTAATCCGTTGGAGGAGATGGGTGGGAAGAACAAACAGAACACTATCCAGTTGTACAAGGAAAACCAAGCGGATAGGACCACGAGGATGCTTTTAGCAGTCCTCCTGCTTTTTTTGATCACGGAAATACCCCAGGTGGTGATTGGATTTGGACAAATAGGAGCGTTGTTTGGGGAAATGTTCCTCGCGGAGTGTTACAAAAATTTAGGTGAGTATATGCAGCAGACATACGGTTGGTCGCAGTAGAAACGAATGATTTAGGCAATATAGAAAAAATATTTAAGGAAAATTTACAAAGGATTTAGTACATATACATAATTTTTTATTAATTCTGTAGCGCTTTCCCTGCTTGAACTTTTGCAAAGTATTTATTACTTTTGTATCCGCTTTCCCGCATGTCCCTCTGTAGGTGGAATAAATAAGTTATAAGTTTCCCGGGGGATGTGTTAATAAAAGATCTCTTATTTTTAATGCTGGGAAGGACCGTTCGATTTAACCTTCCATCGGAAAAATCATTGACGGTATTAAAGCGGTGATAAAATGTTTCTGAAAGGCTCGTATCTCGTGAAGTAAGTACTGCAGAAAATTCCTAAAAGATAGGTCTTATCTGAAAGGTCCTTTCATATCCTTGTCTGAACTGCTTAGGAAGCCTTGTGCCTTCATATAAAATTTAATACATCCCAAATTTTCACTAAAACGTTTCAACTTTTGAAACAAGGTTACGGGGACGTTGGTCTGGATCGTATGCAATGTTGCGAATGGTTTTCACGATTTAAAAGTGGTCGACATTTAATTCAAATGAATTTAGAAACCCATCATCAATGGCACATAGTAACATTTAAAAGACTTTTATGTTTGCTGAAAAGTCGCTATCAAAGGAATAACATTATCAGGTGCTCTGCAAACAAAAATATTATTTCGGTAGATATACGGAACATACTGCACCTTGTTTGATCGAATGCATTAGCGTGGTTCAATGTTCCTTGCCAAAAATGTTTGTGTTTTTCTCGACTGATAATGTTATACCACCTACAGGTAAAAATGCGTTGTTGCTATATTTCCCAGCTTATTTCGTTTAATTACCAATTTATCATTAAGCATATAAACATTTATATCTCGTCAATATGTTGTCTGGTGACACTGATAATGTGGAACATTTTTCCTGAAAATAAAGGTAAACAGATTTATACAGATATTGGCCAATTTTGGGTTTAATTAAGTTGATATCTCGTATAGGCACTCGTTTTCAGTATACAGATATACATATTTTATTTCACGAACGATTTAACAGTTTGTATTATGAGATTAAAGAACTACAGTGTGTTCATGATGAAAGGAACAAATTCGTTTAAAATTCAGCTCGAACACATTAGTATTATTAGTATTTTTAGCTGCAGATTTCTTCAGGAACGCCTCTTAAAATTCATCTTCAGATAACTACAGCTAATATAAATTTAAATACCGTTTACTTTTCTTATTACAAATGTTTGTGTTTTATTTAATTAGGGTATCCTAATAAGAATTATATCTGAAAATATCCCACGCAGGCCCACTTAACAAAACCGTTGAGAATTTATTAATTTCCCTTTGTTTTCTTTTAAACTAAAAATAAATGTATTATATTTATCTTTACATTTTTGTGGAAAAAAAAACAAAGAAAGATCTCATTCAACATTTCATCCTACATACACATTTTGTTCTATATTTTACGATAATAATTTCATTTATCTGCAGTCGAAAAGTAAGCAAAGCACGATATACAGTTACACATCTTTCCTTTTTCTTTATCATGACAATCCCAAGTAACACACTTGCTCAAGAACGTTTATTAGACGTTTTAAAACCGTCCAAAATCACCCATTCAAACATATTTGATTATTATTAAATCACCTAAAATTCTCCCGTTATTTTTATAACGGTTATATCTAAATCTTATCTAGATGGTATTTATCCCGACATTTTCAAAAAATTAGAAGATAAAAAAGTCTTAAATGATACTTAAAAGGCTGTAACTTGTCGAAAAATGGTCTTAGAGCAAAAAACAAGGAAGGTTCAGGTTTCTAGAAAATTTTTTCAAAAAAATATATTTTTTCGAATATACAGAAAAGATTTATCAATTTTGACGTTTTTTAAACAATTTTGTGGTTGGTACAGTTGTTATTTCTACTGAGGATATAATTAATACAACAAAGCAAAATAATTTTATTTTGCGGTGGTAAAAGATATCGATTGACCTTTCAGGGGCAAAATTTTGTTTGGACGTAGTACTAGCCTGACATTATTATTGCATTAAAAGCTCCTTGCGGAAACAGCTGGTGAACAAATCCGTTCGAGTTTTATTAGCCGTTCTATTAAACCCTCAACAATCCCCAAACATAATCGAACAATGCGGAATTGATTTGAGGTTGCCATTTCAAATTAAATCGTTCTTCCAAAGGTAGCAATATACCCAATACCAAATAAGATATGATACCTGGATAAAATATAACTGCCTTACAAATTCAGAAAAATTGGTCTAATATTCGTTTTTCATTCCANAAATATAGTAATTTTTAAAGAAAAGCCCAGTCCTTGTATTGTGCAAACTGTAGTAGGATAGAAAAGGTAGAAAAATAAAATATTCTTTATTATTGTTCAACACAAAAATTTAGTTTATAAGAAGCCATTCCTAATCTAAAGTCAACCAGTTGAAGTTTGTTTTCATATAATCCAATTAAATAATTTAAAATAAATAGTGTATAAAAAGTTAAAAACTCAATTTTTCTGGCGTGCTGCATTGAACAAATTTATGTATGAATGATACAGAACCGACTCCTGAGATCTAAAATAAAACAGACATCTGAGTAACAGCTAGCAAGGGATACAAAATTTAATATACAAGGTAAAACAAAAGAAAGGCTTGTATTAAACAATTTACAGTTAATCAAAATTTATTACAGAAACAAAACCAAAACAACGCAACACTCAATACATAAAACACAAAAAATTGACAAAATTTAATATCATCATAATCATAAAATTAAAAAAACTAACAATATAATAAATTTCATAACAATATTTTGCTTCTAAAGCAGTTGGAGATATCAAAAAAGAATATTATTTGAAAGATTTGGGGATTGTTTTTTCAATAACATCTTTGTGGATAACTTTTTTTTACGTCGTAGATACATTTTTGATAACTATATACTTATTTACACAAAAAATACACTTGTTGTTATTTACTATTTTTAGCTTCCTGTATTTTTTTTTAAATGTAATCTGTTTAGTGTTGTAAGATACGGCAGCAAATTAATACCTTGTATGTTGTTCCAGACTCCGATCTACCTCCTCGTGGCTAATAGTGGAAAAGGATGTGTGGGATGGACGTAATAACAAGTACTCATGAAACATTGAATAACTAACCGTGTTTAAATTATGTGCTATTCCTGTTTTCTCTAAAAACTAGCCATGCCTAAAAATACGCTATGTGACTTGGATGATTTCCGCAACCAGTACAAGAACATACACGGGTATCTGAGCCTAACAGTGTGTATATTTGGTTCCATAACGAACATCCTCAACATTTGCGTACTTAGGACTAAACAAATGCGGTCGCCTACCAATTTCATTCTGATAGGATTAGCAGTGGCGGATCTACTAGTAATGATACTGTACATCCCATTTACTGTGCATCGGAATATAGACCCAAGAAGGAGGCTCGTGCAACATTTTTCTTACCCCTGGGCCTGCTTTCATAAGTTCCACGCCTTCAGCACCATAGTGTTGCACTCAATCGCATGCTTCCTGACTATAGTCTTGGCGATTTGGAGGTATATTTTTGTATCTAAAGTGAGCTCGCATGGGGTTTGCTCGAATTTAAAGTACACGGTGATAGTAATAGTACTTACTTACGTAATTTCTCCTCTGATTTGCTTGCCTTTGTTGTCAACCTTCGAGATAATCTCGTACAACCACACTTGTAAGCTTAACGGTGAATGGGTTCTAGAAAAGGACATTCGTTTGTACGACAACAAAAGCCTAACTAAGAGAACGATGTATATAACGAATTTAAATGACCCACAAAACCTAAGTATCTGGCTGTATGGTGTTTGTTTGAGATTTGTGCCTTGTATTCTACTTACGATTCTTACATATAAGATTATTACGGCCTTATTGGAGACTAGGAGAAGGAGAATGAAACTGCTCGCCTCGAGTAATCCGTTGGAGGAGATGGGTGGGAAGAACAAACAGAACACTATCCAGTTGTACAAGGAAAACCAAGCGGATAGGACCACGAGGATGCTTTTAGCAGTCCTCCTGCTTTTTTTGATCACGGAAATACCCCAGGTGGTGATTGGATTTGGACAAATAGGAGCGTTGTTTGGGGAAATGTTCCTCGCGGAGTGTTACAAAAATTTAGGTGAGTATATGCAGCAGACATACGGTTGGTCGCAGTAGAAACGAATGATTTAGGCAATATAGAAAAAATATTTAAGGAAAATTTACAAAGGATTTAGTACATATACATAATTTTTTATTAATTCTGTAGCGCTTTCCCTGCTTGAACTTTTGCAAAGTATTTATTACTTTTGTATCCGCTTTCCCGCATGTCCCTCTGTAGGTGGAATAAATAAGTTATAAGTTTCCCGGGGGATGTGTTAATAAAAGATCTCTTATTTTTAATGCTGGGAAGGACCGTTCGATTTAACCTTCCATCGGAAAAATCATTGACGGTATTAAAGCGGTGATAAAATGTTTCTGAAAGGCTCGTATCTCGTGAAGTAAGTACTGCAGAAAATTCCTAAAAGATAGGTCTTATCTGAAAGGTCCTTTCATATCCTTGTCTGAACTGCTTAGGAAGCCTTGTGCCTTCATATAAAATTTAATACATCCCAAATTTTCACTAAAACGTTTCAACTTTTGAAACAAGGTTACGGGGACGTTGGTCTGGATCGTATGCAATGTTGCGAATGGTTTTCACGATTTAAAAGTGGTCGACATTTAATTCAAATGAATTTAGAAACCCATCATCAATGGCACATAGTAACATTTAAAAGACTTTTATGTTTGCTGAAAAGTCGCTATCAAAGGAATAACATTATCAGGTGCTCTGCAAACAAAAATATTATTTCGGTAGATATACGGAACATACTGCACCTTGTTTGATCGAATGCATTAGCGTGGTTCAATGTTCCTTGCCAAAAATGTTTGTGTTTTTCTCGACTGATAATGTTATACCACCTACAGGTAAAAATGCGTTGTTGCTATATTTCCCAGCTTATTTCGTTTAATTACCAATTTATCATTAAGCATATAAACATTTATATCTCGTCAATATGTTGTCTGGTGACACTGATAATGTGGAACATTTTTCCTGAAAATAAAGGTAAACAGATTTATACAGATATTGGCCAATTTTGGGTTTAATTAAGTTGATATCTCGTATAGGCACTCGTTTTCAGTATACAGATATACATATTTTATTTCACGAACGATTTAACAGTTTGTATTATGAGATTAAAGAACTACAGTGTGTTCATGATGAAAGGAACAAATTCGTTTAAAATTCAGCTCGAACACATTAGTATTATTAGTATTTTTAGCTGCAGATTTCTTCAGGAACGCCTCTTAAAATTCATCTTCAGATAACTACAGCTAATATAAATTTAAATACCGTTTACTTTTCTTATTACAAATGTTTGTGTTTTATTTAATTAGGGTATCCTAATAAGAATTATATCTGAAAATATCCCACGCAGGCCCACTTAACAAAACCGTTGAGAATTTATTAATTTCCCTTTGTTTTCTTTTAAACTAAAAATAAATGTATTATATTTATCTTTACATTTTTGTGGAAAAAAAAACAAAGAAAGATCTCATTCAACATTTCATCCTACATACACATTTTGTTCTATATTTTACGATAATAATTTCATTTATCTGCAGTCGAAAAGTAAGCAAAGCACGATATACAGTTACACATCTTTCCTTTTTCTTTATCATGACAATCCCAAGTAACACACTTGCTCAAGAACGTTTATTAGACGTTTTAAAACCGTCCAAAATCACCCATTCAAACATATTTGATTATTATTAAATCACCTAAAATTCTCCCGTTATTTTTATAACGGTTATATCTAAATCTTATCTAGATGGTATTTATCCCGACATTTTCAAAAAATTAGAAGATAAAAAAGTCTTAAATGATACTTAAAAGGCTGTAACTTGTCGAAAAATGGTCTTAGAGCAAAAAACAAGGAAGGTTCAGGTTTCTAGAAAATTTTTTCAAAAAAATATATTTTTTCGAATATACAGAAAAGATTTATCAATTTTGACGTTTTTTAAACAATTTTGTGGTTGGTACAGTTGTTATTTCTACTGAGGATATAATTAATACAACAAAGCAAAATAATTTTATTTTGCGGTGGTAAAAGATATCGATTGACCTTTCAGGGGCAAAATTTTGTTTGGACGTAGTACTAGCCTGACATTATTATTGCATTAAAAGCTCCTTGCGGAAACAGTTGGTGAACAAATCCGTTCGAGTTTTATTAGCCGTTCTATTAAACCCTCAACAATCCCCAAACATAATCGAACAATGCGGAATTGATTTGAGGTTGCCATTTCAAATTAAATCGTTCTTCCAAAGGTAGCAATATACCCAATACCAAATAAGATATGATACCTGGATAAAATATAACTGCCTTACAAATTCAGAAAAATTGGTCTAATATTCGTTTTTCATTCCAACGACTGTAAGCACCTAATATTTTGTTACATTTGCTATAGGAATTATTATATTATTACTTATATTACCAAATTTATGGCAATTAAACGTTTTATAGGCCATTTCACTTATTTGTGGACTCGATGATAAAATTTAAGACAGCTGAAATTGTTTAATCTTTATGATTTTATATTCATTTGGTACAAACTTATCGAAAATGCAAATATTTCTATAAAAAAAGAAAGAGGCGAGATAAAACACCGGATTATCAAAGCTTTGCTCTTTTATGGCTCAACTGCAAATGAAATGGAAAATGATTTCCTGTGGCAGTGTTTCAAAGCTATTATTAAAGTCGCATTGAAAAATTTTAATGCTTTCATTACCACCGAAATTTGGAATATTTATTGAGGGAGAATGAATAAAACATTAAGGCGAAATACTGGACGTTCCTAAGTAAATCTTTAACAAGTTAACAAAAGTCGATAATTTGTTGAAACGTTAATAACCTTCTATAGAAAAATCAAGATGGTATAAAAATATATTAATAGGTTCGCCAAAATTTCAAAACATCAAACTTAAAGAATATTCTTGATATAGAAAAGTTGAACCTAAATGGACAATAAAATAACGGGAAATGCAGCATGAGATGTAGATAATTAAAAAAAAACGTAGGTTTACGTGTTAACTGAATACGAAAATTTTAAAATGAAATAGCGAGTACTAAAAAATAAAATTAAGTGTAGAAATTTGACGAGGATTTTTTTCCAATGTTTAGAACAATATTTCGTCAATTTCATCACGTGGCGAGAAAACCACAAATACATATTTGTAAAAGAAAAGTCGATATTGATTGTAAGTTAGCAGCAGACTTAATATAAAGTAATATTAACAGGTTTCTGCAAAGGAACAGATACAATAACTTCTCTTCGAGCAAAGCAATATAACTGAATTTATAATTTTACAGTACTTGGTCCTTTTGAGCAGTTATTAAATATTCTGCGAAAGTTTAATGACATTCTTTTTAAAAAAATGTTAATTAAAATGGGAAGTGAATATCAAAAATTTCAGTGTATTTGTCACCTCCAAGTATATAATTTAGCAAATTGTAGTTCTATTCATTTCATACTGAATTTATTATCAAAAAGTCTAATTTTGTATAAGTAGGTATATGTGTATACACAGGGTGTTCTGAAAGTCCGTCAGGAAACTCCGGGAGGTGATTCTACGGATTAAAATAATAGCATTATTTAATGAAATTTTTGTTCGGATTGTCAATTGTTTGCAAATTACAGCTTGTATAATTTTTTTTATTTTTCTATTTAAATAACTTATTTAATTCAAGTTCTTCAATTCTTTCTGCAATTAATCAAGTTGCCATGCTGTAATACCTTCTTCTGTAAAACCAGCTTCGTTAGTAAATAAAATACTGTCTGTAAATGTTCGATCTAAACCACACATTTTTTAATTTTCTATTAAAAAAATAATTTGTAAAGAAATTCATATCTGGTTGCTGTAAATTTGGTTTAAGGTGATTACTCAAAAAAGTGTTTCGTTCTTACAAAACAAAAGTGATAGAATATAAAACGTTATAAAATAGGTAAATGTTTTTTTACCTGACAAAATAATTTCGTGGATAGGAAACATAAGAAACAAACGCACCGTAAACTAAAGTAAAAATTTTCGCTATTAGATTGCTCCTTTGTGTCTTGGGATGCGAAACGGTGTTTCAAGTCGGAGATCTGCGTGACTTATTTACAAATACCTGAAAATTACAGGATGAAACATTGTCAATATCAATAAGACAATAAAAGTTTACGAAATGACCATTTGAAGAAAATGGAGCAGATAGTAACAGCATATTTTTCAGAATGAGAAAACAATGTATTTCTCAGTGTTCTTTACATCATTGAACCACTTGTTTGCGTAAAACTATTTATATTTTTGTTACAAATGTACGAAGGGATCGTACCTACTTTTAAAAATAAGGTATTAGTACGAAAATTTTTAAGAATTGCTCTTCAAGATACAAATGATGAGGTTCAAATTCAATTCGGTGTACACTATATTTGCATATCTGCCTTAATAGTCTTAATATGTTGTAAAATTAAACCGCCTTAAAAACTAACAGTGTGGTATGGGTGTGAATAATTGCTTTAATTAATTTAATAAAAAGAAGCAGTACCTACAAGTACAAAATATTCAAATTTTTTCTAGAAGCTATCAATTTTGTATAAAAAACGTCTCCTGATAAATATTTTTTAGCTTCACAACAAGTACGATTTTTAATTATGCGTAACAGATACAAAGCAATATTAGTGAGAAAATATAAAAATATGTAGCTTTTTTCAAACTTCACCATGCATCTGGAAGAGGGTACATTTTCAGAAAACTCTATATGAAAAATTAATATATTTTCAGTACTCTAGTGTCTGACGGTATATTTTCTTCTGTAGTACAATTTAGATAAAAATGAGTTTGATATGAATCCTGAAAGGTGTTGCGATATTCCACCAACAAAATCCTACATGATTTGCAGAGAGATACTTTCTTTAAAACCACAAACCATCAGATTTTTATTTGTTGCCATGACTTTTTTTTAAGAAAAAAAGACCTTTCCTGTTTTATTCCCCAACTGTTTGTTGTCGAATTTTTTTGTATATTATGCAGCATGGAAGGTATTCTTCAAAATGTGA